GCTGGGTAGCAGTTCTGCGGAAAAGGACTTGGCATCATTAATGTGATACTGTTGTGAAAAATAGGCACCAATTAGAATGTATAAGCAGAAGTATTGGGTATATGAGATACAAGATATGTCAAGTAATTTTTCTTACTCAGTTGTTACCTTTGTAAAGCACTTCACAAATATGTAGTACTCGCCATGTGTTACATACTTGTACACAAATTAGATTTGGTACGTTGGGTTGTATGATAGAGTAGTGTGAAAGTGTGGTAGCACCCTACTGCATATATGCATTTTCACTTTCTGCACAGATGAAGTCCAGTCTTCTGTTTTGGCTGTTCAGGTCATGAGTTTCTCCAACTGTTGGTTTTTCATACAACCACCCGTGTCTCAAATCAAGTATTGCTTTTTCTATTTTTTCACGTTGTGAAAGTGCATTTAACTTGAAAACTCATTGTTCGTCTTTTCCACCTTCTGTGCTGTCTTATCTACTTTGTCTGTCTTTAATTAGTGTGACATATTCTAAGAATCATTTCACCTGAGCATTTAATTCATCTTATGTCATAAGATCTAAAGATATAGTGATTCACATTCCAGAAAAGTACAAGAAATTATAATAATCAGAAAAAATAGAAGTAATTCTTTATGTTGTGTGATGCTTTTTAGCATGTCATGAGTGTATTCACAGTTCTTAAAAATATTCTGCATCTGTGAATATAACTAAATTAATGTTGTGTTTCCTAACTTACAAGAAAAATGAATGGAATATCTGACAGCAGTATTTTCACTTTAAAATGTGAGGGGGTTTTGTTTTATTGTTTTAATGTGAGTTTGGTTTGGTTTGGGTTTTTTTAGTGTGAGAGGAAAATTCACAGCTTATACATAGTTTGACAAGAAAGGTAATACCAACTGTTTATTGAAACCTGTGTAATTGCCTATGTACAAAGTACTTTCAAAAGCAGAAATGAAGTAAAATGCAATTATAGTATATTTACATCCCTTCAAATGTCTGCTGTCGCATTTCTAATACAGCTGTGCAGGTTAGAGTAAGAGAGGAAAAAACATGGCAGCACTTCAGAAGGCACCATAAACTTTGGAATACAACTTTGCAAAAATTGCAGCACTGCAACTTGTGGACTTCGACTGGGTAGACATGTATGTCATTGAGACTGCAAGAAATATCATTGCTGTGATGTCTCGGTGTGGCAGCTGGCAGCTCAATAAAGACACAAAGCTGTCAGTCACGGCTGCGCAGTCCAGCTTTCTCACAGAGATCCAGGCGTCTGTAACCACTGCCTAGCGTTCAGGGGAACTCCTCTGGAGACGCTTGGGTGTAGTGGTTTCCCAGACATGAGTTGGGTTAGCCACCTGAAATGAGGTGTGTGGGCTTTCTAATCATATCCATAATATCCTAAGAAATTGTCCTTTTTGTACATGACAGATTTTTCAGAAATACCTATGCAGATTTAAAATTATTTTGATTACATAATTGCATTTCGTCTCTGACCAACTTAGTGAAATCTCTCTCCCTCAAGTCCTACATTTTGTTGTGTAGTAGCAAACTGGTCTGTGCTCGTGACTGGAAGGCCTCAAAATGTTTTTGCTTCACTGTTTATAAAATAGTATGTCACTGGTATATATGTAAAATATGTAAAGAAAAGATGGAGCATATAAGTTTTCTTCCCTTTTTGTGGTGACATCAAAGATTATTTGCTTGGTAATGTGAAAATGAAATGACAGCACTATATCAACTATATTGTCTCTATTGTCTCTCTATTAGTGGATTTTTAGAACTGATTACAAATTGATTATCTTCATATCTCATGTACTTAACAGTTAGTCCGTAATTATATTTACCTCCTGGGCATTTTTGTTTATGCAGATTAATTTACAAAATAGTCCTCGCTTCTTGTAGGAGTTCTTCAGCTTCACATATATAAGAAAACTAATAAAATAAGCAAACCCCAACACATAATATGTTATGATTATATTCTGATTTCACAGTTTAATTTCCTACATAATTTACTGTAGGATAAAGAATGTCTTTTTTCTCCTAAACTTTATCTTGTTCATTTTTACAGTTCCTTGATAGTATTATCAAACTGATTTTTTATCCTTAATAGAAAAGGATCAATCCCACAAAATATCCCAGAAGCAATATAGGAGCTATAAATATATTTCATAAAACACATCATTTTATTGGTTATTAGTAAGTTCTGCTTTCTTGAAAAGAAGAATAGACTTTCAAAATACTGGAAGCTGAAAGGATAATTCACAACTGGCAGGGCTCGAGAATAGGTGTTCAGTAGTATCTCATACAGTACTATGTGAGTGATGGCTTTCTCGTACTCATGTTTATAAGCTAAAATGCTGTAAATACTCTAGGGATTTTCTTAAACTTTAATTATTGTGATGATATTTCATATTATGTGGGTTTCATTTTAAATACTTTTAATAAATATGGCCTGATTCTGCCATCATTGACTTTGATGTTTACAATTAAGAAACTTTTTGGATTCACTTTGACCTATACTAATATATTTAAAATCAGAATTAAACAGGTGGTATACCAAAGAATTCTATAGTTATACACATGCTTCGTCTTTAAGTTAGGCCCTTCTAACAACACTGCTGTATTGTATGACATTTGCTGTTAAGTGACAGTAGGATTTTTACAGTCTGAGTTTAGTCCGTATTTTTGAACGCATGAAGTATTTGAATATATCTCAGCTGGCTGCATATGTATTTTTAAAATCTGTCACTGTTAGCATTTTACTTATGATATTTATGAAAAGGGCAAGTGATTGCATCTCAGCTTCATTTTAATTTTTTTTTTACTTTTGCCTTTCCAGAGATTTAAATCAGTCGTCTGTCTGTCCTCAGTAATAAAAATGGCATTCCGGTCTGAACCTCTTCTCCAAAGCACAGAGTCACAGTAGTAGGATTTATTATTTTCATTATACTAGTGCAACTGTGCTAAAGCAGTTGCACTCTGTGGTGTATTGATTTGGGATCTTAATCCAACACTACCGTCCCTCTGAGTAGAGATACTTGGATTTTTTTTAACTGATTTGGTATGGGGAGTAAAAATACTGTTGTAATAAAAAATTTTTATATAGTTGTATTCATTTCAATAAGACCTTAGTTAGAAAGTTTTTCAGGTGTTGGATAGGATTTTTGCTTAGGAAGACAGAATTACCCCAGCAGAAGTAGCAAAGAGCTTGGTGGTAAGGGTGCTGCCCGTGACGGAGGAGAATTGGGGTCCTGTCCTCCTCTGCCTTAGCCAGAGGGACCAGAGCTGCTGCCGGGAAAGATCCCAGGTCCCCACGCTATTTGTTGGCTGTTACGGCGTTCATCTCTCTATCTGCTCTGTACAGATCATATCATGTGTATGAACCCTAAAAAAATACAGTCTATGTCCATGCTACTGAATAAAATACCTCATCCTCATAGAATCATAGAATCATAGAATCATTAAGGTTGGAAAAGACCTCTAAGATCATCAAGTCCAACCATCAACCCAACACCACCATGCCCACTAAACCATGTCCCTAAGCGCCTCATCTACACGTCTTTTAAATACCTCCAGGGATGGTGACTCTACCACTTCCCTGGGCAGCCTGTTCCAAGGCCTGACCACTCTTTCAGTAAAGAAGTTTTCCTAATGTCCAGTCTAAACCTCCCGTGGCGCAACTTGAGGCCATTTCCTCTCGTCCTATCGCTAGTTACTTGGGAGAAGAGACCAACCCCCACCTCGCTACAACCTCCTTTCAGGTAGTTGTAGAGCGTGATGAGGTCTCCCCTCAGCCTCCTCTTCTCTAGGCTAAACAGCCCCAGTTCCCTCAGCTGCTCCTCATAAGACTTGTGCTCCAGACCCTTCACCAGCTTCGTTGCCCTTCTCTGGACATGCTCCAGCACCTCAATGTCCTTCCTGTAGTGAGGGGCCCAAAACTGAACACAGTATTCAAGGTGCGGCCTCACCAGGGCCGAGTACAGGGGCACGATCACCTCCCTAGTCCTGCTGGCCACACTATTCTGATACAGGCCATCCTGTTTGCTCCTGATGCCAAAGGGAGAAGCCCAAGACTTTTGCCCAGAGGACTGAGGATGACTGCCTCCTCGCTTATTTGGGTGGATTGCCTGGGGTGCCTGCTGGCCTCTGGACTGCTCCCATGTGGTTTTTGCAAGAGTTTTTTGTCAGTAGCCAAAACTTTGCCAAGGAGCATATTCTCAGTGAATAGTATGAAGGAGCCGTGCCCTGACCCTGGTTTATTTATGATTGTAGACTTAGCCAGAGAACAGGTATTGGTAATAAAGAAACTCATTTGGGCAGATGGAGGGAGATAATTAGTACCTGGCATATTCCAGGTAAATGCTTTAGGCACTGGGGTAAAGGCTAGTTTAGGAAATCCTGGTACCTGTGCTAGTAATTTATACAAGGATTGAAGTGCTCCACCTGTTGACTGGATAAGCAGTGATTTTTCAGAACTTGCTTCTTTGGTGATTTGGTTGGTTGGTTGTTTTCTCTTCTTATTTTTTCTCTTTTCTAGTTTGGTTACAGGCAGGAAAAATAGGGATTTTTCTCTTGTGGCCTTATTTGGTATTTTGTGGGCACTTTACTGGGAAAACTATGGCAAAAAGTTGCTATGGCAGTTTATGGCAAAGACATCCTCTCTTGAAGAAATTGGCAGATGCTAATCTCATCTGCAGAATAATTACATGGAATTTCATTCTAGAATAATCAAGTATTTCAGGCAGGGTCACCCCACAGTTGAGCAACAGAACCTGGAGACAGGGCATGTGGGTTCTGCTCCCATGATTTTCTTTGGCTGTGAGCTCTGTTTCTCTGTGCATCAGTTTGGAAGTAATGTGTGCAGAGGCATGACTTTTGTGGATAGTTTTGTGACCCAGATCCAGGAGCAAAAAAGAAGTGTTGTTGATGTCACTACCATCATTTGACATTCAAAATGCAAAGTGCCCTGCTCATAATAATTTGTTTATTGCAGTGATAGGCAATGGCACAAGTTAAGATGCAGACTACAGCAAATCTGTCTGGACCTACCATGTCCCCTATGGTGCTACCCCTACCAGTTACAACTACAAATACACTGGGTCTGCCATCCTCAATAAATGGTTCAATTTCGGAATCGGCTGCCAGCTGTAGCAGTCCTACTGCCGGCCTTGTGGATCCTGCACCTTCTAGCAACTCACCAGGTAAGTTGGTTGAGGTATATTTTCTTTGGTGTTCAAATGAATCTTTTTGATGACTTGTTAATTTTTTAAAAAAAAAAAAGTTAGGTCTTGAAGAGGATTAAAATAAAGAAAAAAAATCCCGTAGAAAAATATTTTGGCTAAATAGACTGTTATACTAAGTTAAGTTTCTTTAACTGAGCTCAGACTTACAGTGAAGTGTTGATCAATGATATGAAAGCTCAGAAAAGAACATGTCTATTTTGTCAAATTCTGAGCGTATCTTTTATAGAGAAGTTTTAGTGGTGCAGGAAGGTCTCCAAGTATATTTCTCTTCCCTAGAACAGAACGCCTTAAGACTGCTTGGCAGTATTTGGTGTTTCTTTTGTAGCCTAATAAATGCTGTAGTTCCTGTGCTGAACTGGGTATAAAATACGGAAATGTTATCCTAAAAAATTAAGCAAGAAGTGACAGTGTGTGTTAGGGATAAATACAAGTAAGTTGAAAAAGAAATAGCAGAAAGTCAAAAAATAGTAAGGCAGCATACGTGAAGTAAGTAGTCTAAGAAAAGCAGAACAAAATCCTTAAAGAGGGAGGAAAGCTGTTCTTTGGGAGTGCTCTGAGAGTGGCTTCATTATTGTGAGAAAAGTCTAAAACACTGGGAGGAAGCAGGGAGAAGCTAGTGGGGACCACAGGGTTTCATCTGCTGTATTTATCTTGCAACTCTTATGCTATCCACTTCTGCTTCAAAGTGTCGAGAAACCATTCTGAAAGAGTAGTCAATTCCTGGAACCAATATACTCCTGACAGTAAACTTTGGTGGCGTAGTAAATGTAGCATATGTATATGTTCTCCTACACTGTCATCCTTTATAGAGACATTTTGGAAAGAAATAGTTGTATTTTTTAAAATTGCATGTAATCAAAATGGTTATTGTAAAATGCATATTCTCATATGTTTAATATATAAATGGTATTTAAACATGGTTTTTAGCATATGTGCAAAAATTATTTTTTAGCCAAAGTATTTTCTTTTCTAAGCATGCTGTGCTTTTGCAAAGCTTTGCGAAGTTGTGAAGAATACATTTCTCCACAAAAACTTTACAGACTCTTTATTTACAGCTCCTCTCCAAGATAACATGGCAAACCCCAAAGAGAAAACTCCAATGTGTCTGGTAAATGAGTTAGCCCGTTTCAATAGAATTCAACCCCAGTATAAGCTTCTGAATGAAAGAGGGCCTGCTCATGCCAAGGTAAGGTCACAGTTCCAGGTGATGAGCCATACCTTAAATGCTGAACAGATAATGTCATGGTCTGGACGAGTGCGCTTGTCAAACACAGCCACATTTCTAGTGTAAGGGGTTTCTTACTGTTCTTTATTTTGCTTTCTTTTTTTTTTATGCTTTCAGAAAGTATGTCTGTATTTCTGTTGAAGCCCTGCAGATCATTTTGTACCTTACTTTGACTTTCACCTTTGAGTTTATATTTGTTAGTCTCTATAAAGACCTTGTGAAGGTCTTTCCAGGGTATCACCACCCTTAATCATTATGGAGCATTTGCTTTTTAAGCTGCATGAATCCTTCTCCCCAGTTGGTGTGCCTCTGATAACTACCTCTGCATTTGTGTCATGGCAGTGCAGATGATGACAAAGCTAGTTTGTGTCATTTTTTAAAATGCTTATTGATATGATTCTGTGTCCATAAAGTTGATCGCATAGATACCGTATTTTTGAATCTTGCATTATAGGGCACAAACTTTATTACTGTTCTTTCCTTTAAATTTTGTGCAACTTTAAGATTTATGGTGATATAAAGACTCCTAAATATGATTGTAGTATTAAAGTTTCTAGTGAACTGACAGTTAATTCTGGTCAGTTCTCATATCAATTTGGATATCCAACTTCATTTCATAAGTACAAATTAGGATGCTTTTGGATGATGGGGAACACAGAGGGATATTCTCATGATAACAATTTTCAGACGTAGTTTTGAATTTCCTCCCTAGTTAGGAGCAATCTGGGGGAAGAGAAGAAAGCCTGAAAAACACTGAGAGAGGCAATGGCATAATTAATAGCTGCTTTGTACTCAGTGTGTCTGGAGTGGCAAAACTGCGTAAGATGGGGGTCACACTGCAGATTAGTAACAGTTTCAGCTAGCCATGGGCTGTCTCTGCTGTCTCCCCTTGTTTCTGAGTTGCACATTATGTTGTCAGCTAGTGCAGAGTTGATGCAAATCACTGACCTTCTCGTTTTGTTGGTGTTCATGCATCCTTTATGGAAATGATGTCAGCAGGTGCAGGGGTGCTGAGAATCAGCAAGCTTTTAGGATCCCTCATTGCGAATGGAAATGGAAGTGCTCTTCCCCATCCTGGAGGTGTTTGGCACCACAGGATACACTGGTTGGTTGGTTTTAGGTTGTGGCATGTTACATCTATTGTGCTTTCTGTAACTTTTCACTGTTGTGTTGTATATTTATTTTGTTACCTTTTTTCCATTATTGTGAAATAAGAAGTGCTTTGGTTGTACCAAAAGGTGTGGGTTTGGCTGTTCATATTCCTCAGCAGTAAAGACATTTGAGTTACATTACGTTCATACTATACTTTAAATTTTAGCAGGATAAGAAATAGTTCACATATATTTGTTATTACTATTAAAGGAACTAATATCATTGAAATGACTTGAACTTGCATTAGCTGCACTTTTGAAAGCCAAATTTTCAATGGATTTCTTAATTTTTCAGTTTTTCAATTTACTTCTTACTATTTTTAATTACACTTATAGTGGTCAAATAAAAAAGATATGTGCTCTGTAGACTCAGAAGAATATTAAGTCTGATTTTGACCTGTGCAGCAAAGAAGAAAAACAAAGGAGGGAAGGGAATGAAGATCAAGAGTGATATTAATAAGATTATGCAGACTTGTGTACCTTTGACCTATGAAAAGTAGACATAGAAATTATTATGACTGTATTAGCAGTTTAGTATAATGTCTTGCTAGTCATACGAAGATATACCTGATAGAATATGTGAAACAGAGCTGAGTTTGTCCTAGAAAGCATGACCTGAAGGATGTAATGCTGCTGCTGCTGTTTGTCATTTAAGGAGCATCTCACGTTGCTTTCCTCCTACACAGACTCTGTTCCTGTCCACTACTGGTTTTCATGATTTTCAGAGACGTGCTCTTACAAGACAGCTGTCTGTGTTGTGACCAGAAATGCTAGTAAATTTTTATATCCTTTTTTCTAGTTGTCTCTGGAAAGTAAGTTTTGACAATTGGGGTGAAATGGGAAACTAGAAACAGTGGAGCTGGCAAAGAAGTGGTGCTTCCTGACAGTGCAGTTAGGGTTTCTAGGAGTCTGCCCTCCAGGTGCATTCTTCATCATAAGAAAAATCAGAAAATTTTTGTTAGCATGAACAACATTTTTGAGTACATTGGTCAGATTGATCCTTTCTTCTGTGCTTCTGTGCCAATGTCATCTCAGGAGGCATATTTAAGAGAAATAGTGGCAAAAGAAAGCGGATGGTGGTACAGGGAAG